AACCCCGCGCACCCCGTTCCCACATACCCCTCCACACCCACCTTACCCCGCTCTGCCTTACCCCATTCTATCCCACCCGGACACACTCGTGATGGAAGCGGACTAGTGCGCGTGCGTGCGTGTGTGCGTGCGTGCGTGCGTGCGTGCGTGCGTGCGTGCGTGCATAGGTGGTGGGCGCTCGGCGCATACTTGGCGTCCACACCGCAGACGCGCTGCCGCACACGTGGAGCGGTGGAAAAAATGCGTGTGCGTGTATTGTCTTTTCGTTTTAAGAAACCAGAAGGAGCGCGAACGACGCGACGCGCGGCGGCGGCGGGGCCTTGGAGGAGCCAGCCGTAGCCGTTTATTAAAAACTATACCTTGCAGAGGGACGGGGAGGGTGTTGGGGGGAGGGGTCGTGTGTCCTTCCCCGAGGAGGGTGCCCGCCACAGGCGCTGCACGGGCGCGTGGCGGTGGCGGCGGCAGGAGGATGCGAGGCGGGCGGCAAGGACGCGGGCTGCGCCGAAAGAAGGCCAAACGCCGTCCGAAAATAATTTCAATGGGAAAGCAGCGGCGGAGAGCGCTGCAGGCAGGACGGCGGCGGGGAAGTGTGAGATCAGGGTTATTGGGGTAAGGGTGACGGGGAGAGTGTCGGCCCGCCCGCACACCCGTCTCACTTGTCGCACCCCGCCGCCGCCATAGGAAAACAAAAACACCCGAAGGACTTGCGCGGGGCTGCTGCAGCTGTACTTACGAGACAGCGGGCAGCCCCCGCCACCCGCGGTGCAGGTGGACCCAGACCGGCCCGGTGCGCGAAGCGGGGGAGAGAGAGAAGGACCTTGGTGACGCTCGCGTCTCTCCGTCGCCGCTGCCGCTGCGTGCCGCAACAAAACTCGAAAAAAAATGATAATAATACGCGCTCTCAGTTACGCCCCGGCCCGCGTCCTTGCGATGCTGTGATAATGAGGCGTGTATTGCGCACCCCGCGCCTGCTCGGCCGCCCGCACGAAATACGTCTTTTGTACGCGTGCGTGCGTGCGTGCGCGTGAGCGCTATACACCCGTTTCAAGAGCGCAAAAGTCGCTCGTCCCGCGCGTGCGTCCCGGAGGCCGGTGGCGGCAGCAGAAGAGAAGCCTGCTCTGCGAGGACGTCCTCCAAGAAGGGGATCCTCTTCGGGTGAGCGGGGGCGGTGAGGGGAAGTCCGCGCGCGTGCGTGCTCCCTCTTGTATGCGTGCTCGGGCGTATCGCTCATGTGCGTGCCCGCATCAGCGCGCACGCGTCTGTGTGTGTGTGTGTGTGTGTGTGTGTGTGTGCACATGCTCGAGCGTCGGGGGTTGTGTTGCAATCCTGATAATGACAGGCAGTCAAACCAACCGTCTCTCTCCCTCCCTCTCCCCCTCTCTCCCTCCCTGTTTCTGTCTGTCTCTCTCTCTCTCTCTCTCTCTCTC